ATTACGTTACGTTACATTAAAGGTCCAACTTCCATCTGCTTGTCTTCATAGCAATGTTGTTCCTTTGCTCCTTTTTTGTATAATAAATGGTAGCGGTGCCCACACTTTTTCAGCATGTGAGCTACTTATAAAATGACCAAGTCTAAATGATCTACCTAATACAAAGTCAAGCAAACTGTACTGCACTGAAACACTCTACGCCCCTTTTTTGGACCCTCACCCACAGTTTGAGAATCCCTTCTTTAAGAGAACGTCCACTGGCACTTTACCCAAAACTGTGTCCTGCACTCTCCTGCACACCGGTACAAGTTTATTGCCGACAGCAGTGACCGTAATGAAGTATGATCGCACTGTCGAGTGTCAAACCTCGAGTGAGAGACAAGACCGACGCCAAACGCGATCTAGTCCGAGACGAATATTACAACACTGTGATCTACCCACACTACCTTGGCAATCGACTGGTAGATCACGATCGATGTACTGGGCACCCCGATATACAGTATGGTATAAAACTATTTAATGTTCATAAGTATGACTTTAACTTTTATTTACATGGTGCTACTTTAATATAAATTTGTGGGCCTTTTTAGGGATTACCACAAAATTATATTGATTTAATTCAATTAATAATTCAATTAATTAATAACAAATATTGAATATTGGTACCTACTTAAATGATCAACCCATGCTAAGAACTGTAGTCAAATATTTAAGTATTTGTAAATCATAACTTAACATAATTTGTCTAATTTATCTATGTAATAAGTTAGAACACTGTAATATTACACTGTTGTACAAAACAGCTGTAACCTTAACCTGTCTTTTGCCCATTTGACATTTTTCCAGACAAAATTTTTTTTTTTTTTTCTTTTAATAACCACTCAAAACTAAATCTCATTTCCCACCCCTCACTTACACTTTTTTCCTGCCCTGTCCTGTATTTAGAATGAGAAAATCGTCCGGCAGGATGCTATGAGCTGTGCAGAGAAAATACCAGAATAGAAAGGCTATAGAAGATTGTGTGTAGTTGGCTCACATAGGCCCCATTAATCAGCATCACTCCAAAGGCCTTGGGTTGTCTCCATATGCGTGCACACACACACACACACACTCTCTCTTACATTCACACACACAGCTCTGTCCCCTATTATTAAATGTCCTGTTGTGAGAGTGTCAGACTACAAAGTGCCTAATTGGCTATTTGGCCGCTGAATCCATCATACTGCCACAGTATGAGGGCCCTACAAACCACCGGCTCTACTGTACCGCTCGGCATTATAGGAAGAAGCATTTAAAAAGTTTGCCACGGACTGCAATGTGCTAGCGTCAGATGTGGCGTTAGATCACAGCGCTTGTGCATGACGCTGTGCTTTTTTTTTCTTCATGTGTTTCCATGGGTTTTTCTTTGTGTGATAAAGCGTGTTCAGAAGTGCAAGTCATTTCATTGTACAGGCGGTGCAGAGCAGAGGGTTAAACGTTCTATGATTTGCAGCAAGGTGCACTGTAAAAAAAGTAGTTGCTTCTGCTGCTGGTGAGAGCAATAAAAAATAAGAGTGGGGAATTGGATTAAATAAAAATAATAATTCTGAAATTGCTGTTTGGAAGATGTGCAAAGTACATCGTATTTTACTGGAATGGTACACGGGCACCTTCAAATGCTCCACTAGGACTTCTGCTGTTTGAAATGTTAGATTTATATTTACTTTTATCCAGTTTTTTGTTAGGTTTAGGTTTGGTTCGACATTATTGTCCTACAAGAGAAATTTGCAAGTCATATTTCACATATCAACATGTTTAACACACAAATCCTACATCATTAGGCTGAGGTATTCCCTCAAGCAGAAAACACTCTGTCATATGGTTAATACAGGAAATGCTCCACTGTGTTATTATACACCTTCTCTAGAATTATTTGGATGATTTCAGCCCTGGAATTGTCTACTATTTACTATTAAGTACAAGTAAAAGGTAGCTATTAACTTGAAAACTACCACAACATGACATCACAAGACGGAACAGAGCATTTTGAGCTTTGGAGATGTAGACAGACAGAAATATAGAGGCTTAATGAAACATGTGCATGAAACAAAACACACGGCATGTATGTTTTTAATGATGCAACAACATTCTAACATGTCTTAAAGCTCACAAGAATCAATTTTCTGTAATAACAGACCTTTTAACAACACTGTTCTGTAGGTGGACTTATCTACAATGTATGCATGTATGATTTTATATTTTGTTATGAAGGAAAACTTACAAAGTATGTGCTGTCTAATTATACAAGAACAAGCTGACGGTGTATTGATAATAACAGAAGATTACAGGCCTTTGTGATAAATGAGCGTGCAAATATGGATGACAACAACGGCACTATTTTCAGTTTTACTCCTCATTCTAAATGAACCGTTCAATCTAAATTAATCAGCTCAGTTTGTCTGCTGTCTCTCTGATGACTCTCCAAAATTCAAAATTCTTGATTAATAATCAAATAGTTTTGGCAAATATCGCTGTCAAAAATAATACACAACATGATACAAAACTGCTACAAGAGTCATATTTGTTAACAGAAAGACACGATGAATAGACAATGTGAAAAACAACAAGAAGTTTGATTTCAGATACGGCTGGGCACTGTTAAAAGGATACAACTGAAAAAAGAAAAAAAACAACACTTGGTGGGTTCTGAAGAAAATATTTAATCAAACTGAGGAAAATGTGTCTAGTTAATGAATGGCATAGCATAAAGGTATCAAAAAGTGCAGTTCTGGTATCAGTTTTGTTAAACCAGGTATAATTCAAAAGTCCTATATTATGCTAAATTGACTCTTGAGCTTTAATTCATGTTACAACACTGTTACCTCATCAAAAACATACCTAGAGTTGTGTTTTGTTTCATTCACACATGTTTGAGAACCCTTAATTATTAGTCTGTCTACATCTCTAAAGCTTAAAATGCTCTGTTCCACCTTGTGATGTCATGAAGCGGTAGTTTTCAAGTTAACAGCTACCGTTTTACCTTTAGTTCAGTAATGATTGGCAATACCAGGGCTGAAATTATCCAAATTATTCTAGAGAAGATGTCTGGAGTTTAAAAACACAGTGGAGCACTCCGTATTATACCACATGACATCACAAGGTGAAACGGACTGTTTTCTGTTTCAGAGAATAACTCAGCCTAAATATTCTGGGCTTGTGTGAATGAAACAAAGATAACAGAACTTCTTGTAAGTTTTTTTTATGAGGAAACAACATTAAAACATAGATCAGAAAATAGTTCAATATGGGCTCTTTAAGTACTTGAAAAGATTTCCCTTAATGTACACATGTTGTATGTGCCGATTCTCAAAGAGTTTGCAAACTATAGTCTAGAAACCAGTCTTGTTAACGAAACCCTTTTTATTCTGGATATCACAAAGCTGCTTTTCATGGTTCATAGATTCTTATACAAATGCCAACATGAGGCCAACCTTTGTCTGTTAACGATGTCGGTCAGTGGCTTTTCAACTCAAGTTTAAGCGTTCTGACTTGGGCTCCCCTATGAGCCGTCCTTTGACACTAGGGGAGTCTGAGCATCTAAATCCTTTATGAGAAATGCTAAAGACTTGGCAGCGGGCCCTTGAATTGTGTTAGATAATAAAAAGAGAAGGAGAGGAGCCTTGAAAAGTGTTTTTTTTTTTAAATATATATCTCTGTGTATCTTTCATTGCAATGTGCTTTACTCATTTATACATTCTTTAAACACTTCTTTCAAGCTTGAACTCTTAACCTCAGACTACTTGCATTAACACTATATTTCACTAGCCCTTCACTCCCTTTTGTACCATTGTTGCCCATTGAGTTCTCCTCCCAAGTTTTCATCCAATCTTCCATCTGTCTGTCTCTATGTGACGTATGCTCTCATAAAAGTAACATAAGATGTCTGTGACCTCCCGTTGTTCGCTTCACTCTGTGCTCAAAGTGTAGTCAGAGAGTGGGACTTGCTACTCCAACAGCCTTCAACCACAGTGACCTACTTTATAATGTAAAGAATAGATGGTGCTGTGTGTTTAATGGTAACTTGCGTGTTATTTATTATTATTATTTTTTTCTTCCTTGAAATATGGACGGAAGACTGCTGGTGGAAAGCAACATTTTTCTTAGAACATTACAAGACGTGCTACCTGAGCAATTATACCTTATTTAAATGATCTTAGTGGTTGATACATACACATTGAGGTGTAATCAAAGCTGTCCATTACCAATGCAAATCATGCAGATAGGATCCATGTATTCATTGTGCTTAGTTGAAAAGATTCTTGCAAAGAATTGAATCAGTGAAAGACTGGTAGTGTTTTGAGACTACAGTTCTAAGTATCTGTTGATCCTCAATATAAACAGATACAGCGTAGAGACTGAAAACAGCATTTCCTTTAAACAAAAATAAAATAACAATAACAAAACTGACCCAAATCTGTTTTTATTTATCTCTGAGGTAACTCCAGAACAGCTCTGAATAAAATGCCCAAACGTTCTGAGATATTATGGACCAGCTGCAACCAGGAAATAGTCTTATTGCATCAAGTCACATGCCCAACCAGAATATCAGCTGAACCGATATTTGGAAACTGATGTCTGATTCAGCAAATTTTCCTATACCAGTATCGGATCACTGCATGTCTAATAGAGTGGTTAGCACTTGGATTTGTGTGTTCCTAGTTTTCTCTTGAAGTTTTCTGAAATGTTTTGTTTGTTTACATAGAATCCTATATGTTTGAAAAGCCGAATCTAATCTTTCCAACAGACCAGTGAAAGCCTAGACTAAGCAAAGTAGAATCATTAGCCATATGCTACACACAAGTCAACCCAAATATCCAGTTTGGCATAAGATACTGCAAAGCACACATGGGAACAGACCGTGGAACAGAAGGGCACATTAACAAACAAAATAATGTTTATTTGCAGTTACTAAAGTACATCGGAAAGAACTGTAAGAGTTTTATGTTTGTTTTGTTTCGCAGACATCCACGGCCACGGTGAAGATTGTAGTTACAGACGTGAATGACAATGACCCCCTCTTTGACTTGTCTCTGCCCGTCAACCTGACTGTCATCGAGCAGCTGGACCACGCCTACGTTGGACAAGTCAGGGTAAGTCAGTCCGGGCTCATGGGCACTCTATATAAATTATATTACAGAGTTTGAGTCTGGAAATATATATTCAGTTGGTGACTTGTGTACATATGACCTTGATTTGTATTATCCAGACTGCTGAAATGTTTCACTTAGAAAAATAAAAGATATTATAGCACTATGTAACTTTTTTGGTGAAGGGTCTCTCATCTACTTGTGTCCATGAGATGAGTTGTTGCTTATCTACACAGAAATGCCTCGAAAAACATAAATTCTTACTGTGAGCTCATGATATGGCTCACGATTAAGGATGTAACAATATCCAAATCTCTCAGTACAATATTTTCACAATGTACTTCTCATAGTACGATATTTATTGCAATATTTTGTGGATGCTAAAAAAAACTGTTAATATGCTACTTTTTTTCTCTTAAAATGCCTTGACAAGATTTAACCCAAAGAAATAAGACTTAAAAGTGCTTAAAACTGTTATTACTTCATGTAGTAGTAATAGTAGAAATGGAGCAAAGGATCATGGACTATGTAGTTCCCTCTGTCTTTTTTAGCTACTGCTGCACCATAACTCTTAATTCAAACAGAGAGACTTGTAATTCGACATATTGTGATGGCCCACGATATTATTGGGAGAACTTTGAAGATACAAAATCAAGATATTTCGGTTATTGTTACATCCCTACTACAAGCATAAAGTAGCATTCGTTTTACCATTTTTTTGTTCAGCTAGTTTTTAGACTAGGGGTGTAGAACTAAATAGGAAACACTAGTACCTGCTTGTCTGTTAGGAGATACAATAGGTTTTATGCTACACTGTGAAACATTCCAGTCATTCTGAAAAGTTACATAGTCCACCTTTGCAGTATTTGCCAAGTTTAAAAATGTTTTAAAATGGTTTCAATATTGTTTTCCAGCTTACATGAAATGTTGAATATTTTGTTAAATCAGAATTGTGCAATTTCCAAAACCCATTGTTACATACCGGTAAATGTTTTCCTTTTTCATCTAAATTAAACCAGTCTGGTTCACCATAAAAAGCTTCTCAGTAATCTAGTATATCTAAGAAATAATCAGCTAAGATCAGGAGAGTTTTGTAGTGCAGTTGTGGTTCTTTTTATATCTTTTCACAATAGTAATTTTAACACAATTAGTATCATTTAAAACAATTGGTGTTCAAAACTTGATTCTGCAAGCTGATCAAAGTATAATTAATTCACCTTCACAGTAAGAATACTACAAAACAATCATTTATATCCATTGTTTCTCTAAAACAAAACTAATTGTTACCTTAAACTCCTTTATATCAAATTCATTGCGAAAATAACCCGGTTCGATGCTTGCAATTAAGAAATAATCAAAAGAAAAATCAACCTGGGTCGGCTTTGCAATTTCATAAAACTTTTTCGACAGTAACAAATGACCAAACTTGGATAAACAGACAGCTTACTCCATCTCACAATTAGCCTAGTGCGTGACAGTAAACGCCTTTTGTATTTTGTACTTGCTCTGTGCTAATCCCTCTTCACAATGCGTCGACATAAACTGCAGACGATCTTAGATTATGATTTATTTGTGTGTATCAATAATTCTTCACAGCATCTGCATCGCCGTGGGATACCGCTGAAAACTGCACGTCGCGGCTTTTGTTGCCTCCTCAGATATTCAGGCAGAAATTCATACAAAAAGTGGCACAATGCACATCATTACTACACTACATTACTACATGATACATACTGGATTTGTTCCATGTTTAGGTTTGTCAAAAGTATCAAAAATCAAAATCGAAACTAGATACTCATTTGAGCAGGTATCTCCTAGTATATACTAAAAAAGGACATAAATGAACCTTTCCTGAACAGCTTTAGAATTATCTTGAGTTGTATTAGAACAAGTGAAAGATCACGTAGACTAGATACTCATGGACCCCTATGGAACTTACCTGGACCACTGAAGGATTACACAGATATAAGGCCTCATGGTACTATAAAAGAAAGTACTATGATTTAATGTTGAAAATGATGCTCCTTTGTCTAAATCATTGGTATTGAGTATAAAATCTATTCCTTAGTCATCGAACTGAGTCTCTTTCAACTTATTTGTGTTTTCTATTAAAGTGACTGTAACTTTTTTTTTCTCCATGTATTAAGTATTTTGTTTATGCTTCAGTGGATATATTATATCTAACTCTTAGCACTCAAAATAAGACCACTGAGTGCTGTCTGCATCAAATTCTACAGCATTTTTATTGTCAGGGAACCAGAAGGTAAGGCTAGTGCACTGTTAGCATGCTAGTTGTTGTTAACATGCTATTTCGAGGTGGGCTATTCTTTTTTCCATGGAGCCACATGAGAAACAGAAAATACTGAGGAAGGCCAGGCCAACATGCTTAACTCAGTCCTACATAATATTAATTGTATTTCTTTATTTTAAAAAAACAACAACAAAAAAAAACATTAATTGTTTTGACAAGCTGGTCAGACTGGTAAAAATCTATGTTATACATTGAAAAAGAGGTTGCCTTACAGAAAATTTCATTAAAAAAATAATAATAAACACCTGCAGCTTTAGTCCATGCATGAGATAAAATTATATATATATTTTTTTCTTTATGTAATTCTAAGTTATCTTATGCTTTGGTTGAGCAGGTCAACCAAAGGACCGTATGTGGCTTGGAAACTGTACAATGCCCTGGTCTGTGCTAGTTGTTGTTGCTCTGAAAGTTGTGAAAGTCGCATTTAAAATGACTGCGATGAATAATTTGCATGCTAGGAATGGATTTTAAAATGATGAATACGGTTGGACCTCAGCAAACAGTTTAAAATGAATGAAATGAGTTTTTGTCTGTAAAAATCAGATGTAACAGCTTTACAACTTGTGTTTTATAATCACTATATGCTGGAGTCACCCAACTATCTAATTAAAAGCAGCCATTGTAATCTCTCACAATGGGGAGCAGGGATTTCTAATAAGACCTGTCAGACACGCACGCACTTAGTAATTACAAGCGAGCATCATAAAGCTCATGCAAATGTGCAGGTGAACTATATTTTTAGTCAGTCAATTGTTCTTGTCTTTTTCCGTTTCTGTTAACAACATGCAGTTTAATCAGTCGGTTCTTTGTAATTGTTTTGTTCTCATTAAGTGGGCAAGAGACACTGTATTGCTAGTTAATATGGTTTGCCAAAGTATTGAAAATCAGATACTAATCGGCACTAAAGCTATTATCAAAACTAGATCTTTGGGCTGTATTGGTACTACAAAAGTCACATTCATAGGACAGAAATGAACCTTTCCTGAATAGCTTTAGAATTTAGATACAGATACAAGACTGCATGATATTATAGAAAAACACAACACAATTACTTTGTACTACAATTAATTAAATAATATTTTAAATTGATTTTTTTTATTATTGCAGTATCAGAATTGGTATTGAGTATTGTGACAACACTAATATTGCTGTTCCAATATAGGTATCAGTGATATCTGAATATTTGCATGAGCTGCACCTCTGTGGCATTACCAATTTTTCCTCAGTGCATCAGATTTGTCTTTTTAAACAGACTAATGAGTACAAATTGAAACAGAGGAGCAATTAGACTAAAAATTTGGCTTTATTTTTACATAAAAATGCAACAAATTATTTTTGATTTCGGATAAAAAAATATTGTTAGTATTTTATTTATGATGATGATTATTATTATTTTTGTTTACTTTTTGTCATTTATGAATTTGACTATAACTTAACATAAATCTGTGAGCCTTGCAGTTTGACAGACATCATATAATGTAGTCTTAATGTATCCCTATGGGCCTACAGGGATGGTCCGGTATAGATTTTATATTATAGGCCATAGGTTACTCTTTCAGTCCTGTTACAGTTGGGTTAGCATTTGTAAACACAAAATACATCCACACAGTTCTGTGTTAGTAAGTTTGTGAACAGTTGTTGGAAGTGTCTGGGAAGACCCATCATTCTTGGGCTGACCCGAAATTGAACCTACAGCCTTTTTTTTTTTTTTTTTTTTTTTTTTTTAACAAAAATATTGTCTACTAAAGTACATTTTATTGCAGATAGCAGACCAAGACCTATTATGGATGTAGCTGTTAAAGTTACGATTTTCCCCCAAGAATGAACTCCACAAGCTGAAGTTATTATTAGTTGTGTTGCCATAAATAGAATGCAATTTTCTCAATGTTGTGCACTAATGTGAGTTTTGGACATGATCCTCCCTGCCTACAGTAAATCCAATGACTTCCATGTGGTTGTGGAAGTCATCATTAAAACAAGTAAAAGTTGCCAAACAAGACTGTTCAAAAGCAGTTTTTTCAGTCAAATACTTTAACCAAGTGCCTCACATTAAGACTGCAGTCATTATTTTAAACACACCTCATTTGCATGTTTCGCTCTTGGTGGTAAATGCAGCTTGCCAAAAAGTGCCATACAATATTCATTTTGACAACATGACTGCTTTCTGGAAAAAGGGTTTCTACAGAGCTGGTAATGTAATTTGTTATGGTTAGATACAGAATTAGAAATGAACCAAGAACACAAATTGCCGTAAAGTAGGAATAACTTGTTTTGCTCTTTCTATTTCTAAATACTCTAATCAGTATTCACCCAAAGCATATAACCCGATTTATTCAGCAAAAAATTAGTGCAACACTTTTCCCATTTCATAAGAGGAAGCAAAAATATATTTTATTCAAACTATATATCGGGAAATGAACTTTATGCCAAATGGTAAAAACGTCTTTGTAGTTCAAACCTAATGTGCATGCTTTTGTTCTGTCCTCGGGCAAGACATTTCACTTCAGACTGTCTCAACTGAAAGGCAAAAGACTAGAGTTTGCAAAAAAACTACTACGCAGTTAATCAATTTTTAAAGTCAAATAGTCAGTGATAACTTTGTGGCTTGTCAGTTCCCTGTCAGTAAAAGCATGTAGATTTCAAATATTGTATAAATAAATAAATAATAATACTGAAAGTCATGTATTTTTAT